ACTAATTTTCATGTTGCTTTACTGATATATCCTCGGCGGGGCATTCATGTCCTATGGACATATTTCTAGTTGTATGTGGCTTTTTAAATTAATTGTCATTCTCTTGTAAACACTTTATTTGTATCAATAAGTATAAATTTTATTTTAGATATGATGTAGACTCACCTAAACAAGCCCTATCAGCACATGTAAGTACTTTTATTGAAATAATTAACCATTCTAATAATTTAGAAAAAATGAATGCATCTTAAGAGTGAGCTATAAGTTTTATTGTGTGAAAACTACAATAGCGAAACTCTTCATTTTTATACCATATATAACTTACATTAACTTCAGTGTACATGCAAAGTATGGGGGAAATCTACCGTCCAGGTATTTTCAAGGGACCGTCTCAAAATACAGGTACATTTACATATTATATAGGAAAATGGCAATTTTTAGCACTTTAAAGCAAATTATACAAATACTACAATAGACATTTTGATCAAACTATAATATTTGATGAGTAATACTATATTATTCAATATATGTAAGAGACACTAAATTCTACCGTCTTGTTACTAGACAAAATGCAAAGAATTAGCAAATTTTACTATTTTTATAGAGTATTAAAAATATGACGTAAACAATGGATTCACATGAAAACATAATAAAAATATTGGAGATATTCTCAAATATCTATGTTTTAAATTTCAAGAGCATAACTATGTTTATTACTTTTTCTTTAATAATATTTTTATTACCCCTTTCTTTAAGAGCTACAGATTATCATAACGTCAAAAATACACGGCAACGACGTCAACCTACCTATCAATTGCAAAATCGGTTAAATAACCAGTTATATCAAATTGTAATTACATTTTTATACCTATAATTTCTTAATTTTGTTTAATTTTAATAATTAAGCGAAAAAAGTTGCATTAAAACAGTAAATACGCTTCATTTTACTATGATGCGCGAAATATATGCGCAATGGAAACTATAGTCGGCTCCCTTAAATGCATTAATTTTTTCTAAATCACATGTTCATTCGTGAATTTATCCGATATTTTTCTACAATCAAGAAGTTTTTAAAAGTCAAATATTACAATTTTACAGGCTATTACATGTACATTTACAGGATTTTCTGGGGAAGGAGATATTCTGGAGAAATTGGTGCACCAGTGGAAGGATGGATGCAAAGCTGCAGTACGAGTCTGAGTTATTGCCCTTTAAAATTAATTTTTGATAAAAAATATATTGATTATTTGGACATATGCCTCACATATCAATTTCATAACAAAAAATAGATAAACTTAAAATGATAACATGTTCATTTAAACATAGAAATGTTGAATACAGTCAATTTGGTTTCAATATTTCAGGGGATCAAAGGGTCGTGGACAGATTATTGGTAGAGATACATGTAAACATACTTACACACAATTATTGAATAATTGTAAACATTTAAGGTACATGTACTATCACAATTGACCTTCAATATCTTCAAGATTATTTCTTTATTAAAATTTTTTCTTGAATGTATTATGTGACAGAAAATTTAACTGAACTTTGATGTGAAAAATGTAATATATAATTATAAATTATGCACATTGATAAAAATTTTTATGAATACATAATGTAAATGACTCAATATTTTTCGAGTAGTTAATATCAATTATGTCCACTGTTTTTCTATGTAGAGAAGGTAGAATTATTCTTTACTAAATGTTAAAATAATATTAATTTTATTCTTTTCAGTAATTAGCTGAAGAAATGAGTTCTTCAAAGGTACGGAAAATGAAAGGAATCACTGTGTTGAAACAAAAAAATAAATTCTTATCAAATATTTATGTACCATAAACATGTAGTTCAATCATGTAATAAAAAAAACTTCTGATCAAAAAAGGAGATTGATACAGTGTAGTAAAACTTTCTTATAAAGATGTTTGGTGTAGAAAATACATACTGTATAGGGTAATTTTCGCCCCCGTTTTATTTTAAAGTGTCTATAGCCTATTGTACATGTAATAGAGCTGTAGCACAACTTGCTTTAATATTCATACATGTGCATTCAAAAAATTTTCTTTTTTTATTAGGAGCTGTTAACACTACACTTCAGTGGAACTAAGGGTGAAAGATAGACTTTCTGGGAAAATCCGATCCCTTCCTGATTCTGTATAAAGCCAATGAGGCATCGCAAGTTAGTGTACTGGCTATATATTGCAGTATTTAATCTGCAGGAAGTATTATGAAAAACTATTTCCTGGTATCACAGTATATTAATGTACAATATGCAAGTACAGGATTAAGAATAACTCCTTTATATGTTAACTACTGTACATTATTACAACAGGTCATAAGAATTATAAGTACTGTCTAATGTTGAAAATATAAAAATATAAGTATTTTTCAAAATTATCCTTTTCCTATATAACGTTTAACAGTTTGTAATAATGTATATATGTTTTAAATATTTGTTGTTTTTTTTCAGTTTCACAGCTGTTCATAAGACAGGGGTTATAAAAAATACACTCAATCCAACATGGCGACCTTTCCAAATTCCAGTAGCAAAACTTTGTAATGGGGATTATGATAGGTAATTACATGTACTTCAGATCTTACTATCTTGTTTTCATTTACCAGAGAGATATTCATTATAAATATAAATGTGGATTTCAGTCATTTAAAATTTTTCACAAGTCTGAATACACCAACCTAAGTAGTTGCAATAATGCAGCACTTCCCAAATGGAGAGGGCAACATTGTTGCACCTATAATCATTCTTTTTGTAATCAACTTGTTTATAGACATTTGGCAATATGTACAAGTTTTAATAATTGTTTTTTGTAATTTCTAGTCAATGAAATTGAAGATCTTCAAGTATAAATTTCTAAGCACATGATTTGATATAGCACAATTTGTTGATTTAAAAACAAAAACAAAAAAATGAAATAAAATACATGTAAAAAGTTATTTTAATAGTCTTAAGTTTTATAATTTAGCATAATATCAAAATACGCATCATATCATGTTATATGTATCAAGATATGTGTCATATCACAAGATTAGTGTATCACCCCACCCCTACAATACTGAAAAAGTGCATTTTGATTTTTTGTAGAACTTTGAAGATTGAATGCCATGACTGGGATAGTGACGGAAGGTGACATTGACTTAATTACATTTTAAATGGTTTTTTTTTAAATTATTTAATTTAATTAATATTCAGGTACATGTAAAGCTGTTTGTTTCAAAGTCGTTGAGATTTTCTTCTTTCCAACAGCCATGATTTTATAGGAGATTTTACCACTAATGTAAGGGAACTAACTGGCAAACCAAATCTTAGTTTTGAGGTACGTAGTATAAAGCTGAATTTGTTTCTTTTTGCGTTTAAACAATACTTATACTTCAAAATTCTTGTCAGAGGAGTTTGTTTTAGATTTTGTTGAAAATAGCTTGCATTTAATAATCCTAACTTTATTTTTTTTCAGTTAATTAATCAGAAGAAAAAGTCTAAGAAGAAAAGCTACAAAAATTCAGGACAGGTATTCCTATTTTTATCATTGATATTTTTTTTAAAACCGTTTGAAAAGCATTTTGTTTTTTTTTCCGGAAAATTTGCTAAAGAATGAAATAAAAAAAAAAAATAAAAATTTTTAATACTCTTTTGTTGCAGATTCATTTGCTCAATATTAAGAAAGAAATCAAGCCATCATTTTTAGACTTTTTAAAAGGAGGGTAAGTAAGTTAAACAAAGGAATTTTTGTAAACTGTTTTGTTGAATCTAATTAAAATTATTGTTTGAGAAGCGATAGCCAATTCAGAGCATCTAATTTAATTAGGTTGAGATATTTGTAAATGTCAATCCTATTTAATATATTTTTAGGACACAGTTAAATTTCACAGTGGCAATAGATTTTACTGGATCCAATGGAAATCCTGCCTCCCCCCACTCTCTACACTATATCAACCCCTATCAACCCAACCAGTATGTGGCAGCCATACAAGCTGTAGGGGAGATTATCCAGGACTATGATAGGTAAACACTTAGACGTTAACTCACTGTATGTATCTTTATACTACAGCAAAACTCGCTTATAACAAAGTCACTGGGACCTATGAAATCACTTCGCTATATCCGTAATTCATTATAACTGTATAAGAAATATATTAAGATGACTTCGTTATATCCTAAAATTTGCAATATCCGTGTTCCTACTAAACGAAATTTGCTGTTTACCATATAAGTTGATTTTTTTAAAGTGATATGTAAAATTTAGCAATTAAGTCCCTCTGCATCTACTTGGTTTTGTAGTTGTGATTTTAAAGCATGTTGTTGCTCTGAACACAAAGAAACACATGTCTGTTGAATAATACCATACACCATATAAGTGATGATGTCTTTGTCTTTATTGCAGTGACAGACTATTCCCTGTGTTAGGATTTGGTGCTAAGTTACCAGACGGAACTGTTTCACATGAATTTCCTGTGGTACATTTATTGTTTATTCACATTTTTAAGTTTAACTTGGTGGACATGATGCATGTTATTACTCTATATTCATGACAACCAGTAAAATAGTACTGTATCCAATTCAATTTTGTTTAATGATTTGGTAATTTTGTATTTTCCCATCTGTCTGTTTGACCTTCTAGAGAATTTTCAACCTTTTAAATATAGTCCTGCCAGGACTTCTATTAAAAAACTTTTCATTTTGTTTTCAGAATTTTAATGCAGCCAATCCGTATGTGCAGGGTATAGCTGGTATTTTAGATGCTTATCAGAATGCAATAAGAAGAGTTCAGCTTTATGGACCTACCAACTTTGCTCCTGTAATTAATCATGTATCAAAGTAAGATTTTATAATATTATTTTTTTCTATTTTTTACATGTTGTAGATTGTTACAGTTAAATGGAAATTGATCCACTGAGAGAAAACCTTTTCCAAACAATGGGAAGTAAAGTTGACAATGGTTATCTTTTGGAGTGTGAATATCAATTTTTATCCTCCAAAATATGATCATATAATTACAACAGCAAAACATTAAAAAGACATGAAAAGTTATGCAAATATTAAACACATACCTAGTAAAAGCATTAATACAAATAAACAATTAACTCTCAGGCCAAAAAAAATTAATCAATAGTTTCTCAGGCACCGCCGCATCACTTCAAAAACGGCCGCATTGATCAATTTTATTGACATACTAGTATTGAAAAGAGAAATAACCCGATTTTCTATTTTTCCAAGTTGAAAAAGAAAATTGAGTTATTGCCCTTTTCATAAATGCTAAGATAGACGTTTTTATTAGAAAAATAATATATTTCTTCTAAATTTACAAATTTATGAATTAGCTTTTAAATAAATGTTTAGAATAACATTATTATATAAATATTGCATGTAGCTGAGTGTAACATTGAAAATTTTCACCTCAAGAAAACCATTGTCAACCGAGGCGCAGCTGAGGTTGACAATGGTTTTCGAGGGGTGAAAATTTTCAATGTTACACTCAACTACATGCAATATTTATTATATTATACTGAATGTTTTATACAAATACATATAACAGTGAACCATGCGAGCATAAATTCTGCGCAGTCTGTATTTTTTGGAATATCACCTGTTGTCAAGCAATGTTGACTGTTGCTACGCTGGAGGGCGTGGCTTCATTATTCAGCGGGTAATAGTGTTTTTTAACAAATGTTTCTCAACCAATCAGATTCAACTAATTTACATGAAAGTATAATATTTAAAGTTAAAAAAATCTTATAACTAACTTCATAGAACAAAAATTAAGAATTAGTAGACGTTATCATTTTAACTGCTTCAAAAAAAAAAATCTGCCTGCCGCATTGAATTTTGAATTTTTTGGCCTGAGAAACTATTGATTAATTTTTTTTGGCCTTACCAGGAAGAATTTCTAAATACACAAGATAATCTAAACAACCTCAGTTCTGTACATTATCTTTGTGCAGATCATTAAAATTGGTTACATTCATTGAACAACTTTTTCACTAATGTAGAATATGGGATTTGAGGTTAACTTTTGCTGTGACTTTTTCTCATTACATGTACTGTACTTGTGATTAAAACAAATGTGACTGTGTGATTTATATGTGACAGGTTTGCAGCCTCAGTAAGAGATGGGTCTAATTACTTTGTCCTGCTGATACTGACAGATGGAGAAATCTCAGATATTAGGAATACTATTGAGGCTATAGTCAATGTAAGATTAGAAATGATTTACAATGTTCACTAATTTGAACACAGGATATTTTATCTTTTTTTATTAGATGTATATATCCATTTGAAAATTTTAATTATTTTGTGAAAAGATATATGATGCAGTTTGCATTCCGGATTTGAAATATTTTCTTAAATCACTGATTGCATTTAGTCGTTTTAAGATACATTTTCTAGGGTTGTTAAAAAAAATTGCAGTGACAAATTTTATTGTCGCCATGCTATTTTCCAAGAACAATAAATCTTTATTGATGAAAATTGTATGTATCCTTAAATAAGTAAGAAAGATTTGAAGTTTTCTGCCTTTGTCTTAAAAATATACAGCTATATTGTTTAGCTGAAACATGCTTCACAAAGAAGTTCACTTCATTCATGTTTTAATAATGATTACAAACAGTGTAGACATTTTTATTGTGAAAGTTACAAATTGCACTCTGCATGTCTATAGTGCAAAAGATTTACATAATTAAATGTTTAACACTTACATTTCTATTTTTCCACAGGCCTCTCACTTGCCTCTTTCCATAATTATTGTAGGTGTGGGAAATGCTGATTTTACAGGTACAAATTATTCATTAAAAATTAAAAAAAAAATTTACTTACTGATGTTTTGAGGTATTTCATAGATGTGAAATCACTAATAACCTAGAATGAAGTGAAATTTCCTGGAAAAAATTTTTATAATGACAGAACTTAGAGGAATTGCTTTGATGAATTATAATTTTGTGCATGATAAAGTACAATGTATATATCAAAAGCTGTTACTGTGTTAGAGGAAATAATTTATGATCAGTTAAAAGTGAAACCAACTTGATGATTACTGTCCAAGTTTCACTTTAAGGATGACGTTTACTCAGGTTTCAGAAAACTGACAGGAAATTTTCTAAAGTATAATATGTTTAATCAAAAATTGTTCTAAATGTATGAAATAACCAAGTTTTAACTCAATATCAATTTTAAAATTTCATATTTTATTATTTGAAGAAAATATACAGGAACAAAAGTCAATGTATAGTAATGCAGAGGAAATTCGGACTACATTTTTAATTAGATATTTGATTTCTTGCAATATTAATCACAATGTAAAGATTAAATGTATTTTTATACATCATTTTGCAAATATTATATGTGTTAAAGCTCATAAATTATTTCAAATAATTGAATGCCATGAAATAAAGAAATTCAAAAATATGAACAAAAACCATTCCAGGCAACAAATCTCAAGAATTTGATCATTGACCCCATATAACATTAATACCCTGAAAATTAGGGAAATAGGAATAACCTAAGGTTATAAATGATTTAGAGTTCTTATCAGTCAGATTTTTGTTATATTCAATTAAAAATGGAGAAAAAATGTAAATATGACAGAGGAAATTCGGACGGTAATAATTATTAAGTTTATGGCCCAAACTCTAATCTTTTCTTTATATGAAGCAAAGTTGTTCTGTTGCTATGATATTTTATTATTTAAAGAGTTGTGTTTCTTGTAATATTTTGTGAGTAAAGAAAAAATTGGTCATAGTGTGAAAAATTGAGGTATTTTCGAAAAAATACTCAAGGGCCACTAGCATGAAAAGTAGGTCATTGACCTGCTTATTTGAAATTGAAAATTAACACTAGAATCATAGGTGTACAATGTGCAATAGGTGATTTTTCGTTTTTATCAGTGGAATTTTTAGTCTTCTGAGTAAAGGTATACCTTAAATTCTGCCAATTGTGTAACGCACTACATGTATATAGTGCACAAGATATAGCAAAACCTGCATTAATTTCAGAATTTACTTCCCTTTTGGTATATTTCAGCAATGAATGTGCTCGATGCAGATGACCAAAGATTGTGTTCAAATGGAAAGTACGCTCTCCGAGACATAGTACAGGTATGACAAAGGAAAATATGCATTTGAATAACTTCCAGTTATTTTTAATTGAAGGAAGTGCTTAGATTATGAAGAGTTTTGAAACTGTATGTGGATAAAAATTTATTCATTTTGAAATCTTGTAAAAACTTTTAAAAGCATTAAACTTCTTGTTAGATATGTTCACATAATATTAATATATTTTTTCCTTTTGTCTCAGTTTGTTCCTTTCCGAGACTTCCTAGGAGGCCAGTCAGGAGGAAACACTCAGATATCCCAAGCAGCACTGGCCAAAGAGGTGCTGGCAGAAATACCAGGACAAGTGGTGCAATACATGCAAGCCAACAAAATCACTCCTAAGCCACCAAGGACTGACATTCTTCTTCCTGGACAAAGTCCACCGCAGCAAAACCCAGGGCAAAACCCCCCTCCCCCTCCTCCAACCCAGAATCAGGGACCCATGCCAGCATGGGTAAAGGCTCCCCCTGGGGGCCCCTCTGCTCCTCCCCCAGCTGAAGGTGGCTCTTGTCCTTACCCCCAGCAGGGACCCTGGTGAAGTAAATAATGAGGGATTGTCAATTTCAAAAGTTCTAAAGCTGATGCTAAGCTTAAACCTCTCACAAAAATGCATGTTTTTCTCAAGCTAATTAACTCACTTTTTACAAAAAAAATATAATTATCTTTGATGTTATATACATATCCTTGCTGAAATGTAAAAACTTTAACTATAGTTAAACTTTAACTATAGTAACTAAAGTTAGTCTAAGAACTTTATGATCAACCTTTGTTTAATGACATAATATTATATACTTTATACATTTACATATTTTTCATATTTTATATTTTTGCATTTGTTATTAAGGCATATTAGCTTGTTTTTTTTTGTTTTGTTTTTTTTACTTTGCAGTATTGCTCTTTAATGTTCCTTGTAACACATTGTGATCAGGGTATGGAAAGTCAACTAAGTATAAATAACCAATAGAAAGATGTGTATTATTTTATGATTTTCTCTCTTTCTTTTTTTTTTTGTTCATTATGCACTTATTCACCATTTGGTTTTTATAGTAATTAAATCGGTATTTGAACTTTTTAGCTTATGAAATTACATGTACTGTAGATAATATTCTATTATGCATTTCATTTAAAACATTGACATTTGTTTAATTTATCATAAATACTGATAATTTCTAATGCTGAGAAATGTATATTATCTCAAATACTGAATATACTTGGAGAAAAATTGAAATAAAACAGAAGGGTAAACATAGAAATTTGGTTTCGTTTAGTTATCTATCTTTTTTTTTGTCTTTCTACTTAGTGTAATGCATGCATATGTTCAAAATAAAGTGCATATAATCTACAATTAATGTTCTAGCCACCCTTGTAAATTTCAGCACCTAAATGTTACTAAATTATCTGAACCAAACTTTCACATATGGAGTGTCACTTTGATAGATGCAAAGTAACCTTAAACAAAGTGTTTGGCCCATCTGTGTTCCAGTGGTTTTATCAATGTAAGTTGTTCATACAAACCTCCATCCTAAGTGGAATTTCAATTTCATTCTATTTTTTTCTTTGGTAAAAAGATTCCTTGCGAAAAACTGAATATTTATTATGTATATTTAATTTTTTTTGTGTTCCTTTATATCATAATTGATTTTCATTCATCACTTTAACTATATATGTACTTCTTCATATAGGGTATTTGTGAGAATTTAACTTTTAACAGAATATACCCATTTTTTGCCATGGCATTTCTTGTAATATTTATCTGACATAATCTGGAATGTACATTTTTGTTTCAAACAAAAGTTTTCTAGTCAAAAAAAATTTGAGCATTATAATTAATGGTGTTACTAAGGTAACCATTATGTGTTCACTTTGTACTTTTTGTGAATTTTATTTCTTTTTAATCTCAAAAACACAAGTCTGTAAGCCAGTGAGTTGTTACAATGACCAATATCTGACTTGAAATAATAGAAAATGTGTAAATAATTTGCATTTTTTCAAAGTTCAGTAAAAAGGCTGGCACTTTTCAATGCAACAGTGATGACTAAAGTACAAATGTAATCAAGATAAAGGAGTTTTGCGGGTTAAAATTTAAACGTTTTTATATTTGTGCTGGATGTTTAAAAATGCACTATACTGCTTTTAACTTTCTTTTGCTAATACATGTAATTTTTTTTAATCCATATTTGTAAATTGTAAAGATATGACTTTATTTGTTAATTTATTAACTAGTACATGTATAGGTAATTAAAAAAAATTAAAATGTATTAATAATTTATAATATGTGTTGTCATTAAACAGATAATACAAATTATTTTTTCTATAAATAAATTTTGAAATGATGTTGAAAAGTACATGGTACGGTTTAATAATATAAATTTAAGATTAACAAGCCTGTGGATTAAGATTGCGCTTGCCAAGTACACGTAGATTCATTCATAAAGTTTCTTATACATGCTTTGCATCGTCAACGATGGAATAAAACTAGAAAGCAGACACAATCAAACAGGCTTAGGATTTCATTCAAAATCCTTATTGACCTCAAAATTAGATGGTAGTGCACATTCTAGAGTTCATATATTTTTTTTTAAATATCTTGAAAGGTGTGGTATTTGCAAAACATTGTATCCTGGAAAGTTTCAGTTTGAGTTGCATATTCTTTGACGTTTGGTCTTATTTGTTGGTATTGAGAATAGAGTCAATTTAAAAAAAACTAGTATTTAGATTACTATATGCTTTTGGAATTGCTTTGGAGACATCAGTATACCAGGCTGTTGATTTCACAGGCAGGAAAATTTTGACCAGTCTCATACACCGGATTTGATCTGCTAAATTCTATAATTTTATATTATTTTTAATTACAGTTAAAATATAACATCGATTGTGGAATTGACAAGTTTCCATTTACCCAAGACTATGACTTTTTTCCGAGGCGAAGCTTACGGGGAAAGTATAACAATGTATAGGCCTATACATGTATTTGCAGCAATTTTTAGTGAATTATTCACATCTAGCTAACGATCTAATTTTATAAGTAGGAAAGTCATAAAAAGATACTTTATTTAGTTATTAGTAATTTGATAAGAGCTATACGTGATAAACCTTACCTTCTGATAAATTTTCAAGATATTCTTTCCATATGAATTCCATTTCAAATATTTGACACCTTACGGATTTAACTTCAGTCATTCTTTAAAAAATTGTTAATGCATATTGCGCGTCTTCTTTAAAGCTGTACTTCTGACAAACTGTACAATTTTCTTATAGGTACCAGGGTAATTATAAACAACTCAAGCATTCAAAATTTTATATCATATCCCTTTACAATGTAACAAATGACAGCATCGAGTCAGATAATTTGTGATCTACTTATCAAAAACAAATCAGTCGTATTTGTAAAATAGGTAAAATTATGAACAAATTAAGGACTATACGATGGTTATCCAAAAAGTTCGTGGACAATGACGTTTTTGTTAAAATAAATGGTTCTATATAATTCTGTTGTATATCAAAATATTTCTTATGAAAATCCAAGTCGGAATGATATAATTTTTATTGATGGAACTTAATATTTTTGTAAAAATCGGGGTCTTTGCAGATGGTGCGCACGGACCAAGGTTAAAATGCCATGAACTCTGATAAAAAGTTTTCAGATTAAAATGATTATTTTCTATACAAAACAAGTCAAAACATAATCAAAATAATATGTAACACAAATAAGGAGACTATAATCATTTGCTGATATCTTAAGTATCGCTTGCTATGTAGGCAGTGAAAATATTAAACAAAAACCCTTGCAAATATGTGTCAAAACTTATGCCTAGGTCACATTTAAGCCGATGGACGGGCGACTAAATTTTTCTGGTCTTGTCGGCTGAAAGAACAGGATCGGCCGACACAGTATCGGGCGACACGGAGCAGTCACATTATTTCCTAGGGACACCGATGACTTTGATAAATAACACAAAAACCTTTTTCTCTTTAGAAATCAGCAATATTTTTTCATATATCTATATTCAGATAGATGACGTGAGTAATGTTTGCAAGGCAAAGTGGCAGAATCTTATAAAATTGTGACTCGATGTTGAAAATGTGTGCAAAATTTCGGATAAAATTGCATAAAAACGACAAATGGCGCATATCTAAGCAGCAAAGAATACTTAAGATTTCTTTATATCTTACGGATTAATTATTTATGTTATCTCCATTAAAAAAATTAATATCAATCTATGCATCAAAATTTTGTTTGTTTTATGTATCCTTAATAGGTTAAATATTCACAAGTCGGCCAATCGTCGCCCGATCATCGAGCTCTGAGCTACAGTTTGATTTCAACTGTCGGCCGAAATTTTCAACATGCTTATTGTCCAACGACGGACGACCGACTTAATAAACTGACAGCCGATGGTCGGACGATGATCGAAGGTTGGTCGACTGATAACTGCACTTGAAGAAATCGGCCACCGACGCATGAAAAATTATAACTTGGACCGATGGACACAAAATTGGTCGGCCGACAAAAAAATAGGTCAAAATCGGCCAAGATAACAGCCGATGAACTGACGATTGTCACCCGAACAATCCCATTTTTGCTTCAAAACCCGTCGGCCGTTGATCGTTTTTGGAAATGTGACTGGGGTTTTAACAGAAAAGGCGACGTCGGCCGTCCGAACGGGGCAGCGTCCAATAAAAAAATGTTTTAATACGGTTGAAACGACATAAGAGACAACTCACAATTACTGAAATATATTTAGGTTATTGATTTGAGATTGGTTGTATACGATTTTTCTGCCGTGTTTACAAATTTGAAGACACTACAAGAATATAAATCACATGTAATTTGCTAAAAATTGAGATTTCTATTCATGACGTCGTTATAAATCTAGCGAAGCATCGGACTGGGCTGTGCAGTATGTATACACAAACTTTTAATATTGATGACGCTCATAAATTTTTATGCATTGTTTTAAATTTTAAAAATTAAATAACTTATAATCTATAGTTAAATATTTTTGCAAGCACTTGGAAGTGTGGCGCCATAAAATGTAATGCGTTTCCGTGAACATATGTGTAAAATTTCAAAATCAAAAATGTTTGACGTTACGAGGGGCGTTCAATAAATAATGTCATTAGCTCGATGACATACAACATATGAGTCATATAACATAAAGCTTGACTTTCTCTCATTATTGAATCTTTAATGAATTTATAACAGTTTATGTGACCACTTTTCATCACATAGTTTTATCGTGAGAAGCTGGGAAACAAGGGCTATTCGAGACACTGCATTATAAATGAATGGTAAAGAATCAGTTAACTAGAGTGAAAATAAAAGCTACATTAAAGCTGCTGTAAAACTGGTTAAAAATCACAAAGAAATATTCACTGAAATATGTGACATTTACAGCAACCGATGCCTGTTTTATAGACAAATTAGCAGGTGGATTTCAAAGATAAAAAATTATATAATGGGCATCAAAAATGGGTACCCTCCTTGCCAACAAAAATTATAACAACTTATGTACTGTTTGCCAAATTTCAACAAATAATATTTGATGTTGTATGATTGACTTTAAGACACATAGCAAATTTGATAGACATCATATCGGGAGAATTTTACACTGTTTTTAAGAAACGTTTGACTGTAAAAAAGCTTGGTACTCTAAGGTCACCCTGTATTTTGAAAAATGAGTGAAAACGACAGCGTGTACAAAAGTCTTAACAATTATTTTAAAATATCAGTAATTGTAGCAATCCACGTTTGTTTTATATTCAAACAGATATTGGAACATGAATCTATTGCTTAAAACCATTAAAACAAAATTTACCATAAGATGTACTTGATAAAAACGGCGAAGGTCTGTCAAGAGCAAAGGTATGCAAGAGCACAAAAACAGATTTATATGCAATTTTCTTAAATATTAGTGGTATTATTGTTCAAATTCGTATTCGGGGAGACAGTTTAATATCTGGAGGTGTCTAGAAAGCAGTTTTTTTGCAAAGAGATCGAAAGGTTTATCAGAGAAAGGACCCAGAATTAGGAATCCACTACACTGAATTTCTTCATGACAGCGTTCAAACCCGCATGCCCTAAAGTGTTAAGGGGTTTTCGGGATAAACAGAAAGTTAATGTTTTTTCACATTAACAATATTTGCAAGATCTTTGACCTTTTGACTTGTTTCTATTTCCAAACTTGAACAAAACACCTTTCAGAAGGAAAAAACAAGTCCAGGAAATCATTGGATCTGCCATTTTCCAGTATACTAAGGGTCATACCCAAAAATGATCATGAGTTCTAAAAACAATCAGAAATAGGATAAAAAATGTTACGGACATGTGTTTGAATTAAAAGAGATTAATAAGTAAAATCACGAAGACTAAATCATTGAAAAGCGTCGTTTGCTTCTTTCTGAGCCCCAATGACATTATTTATTGAACGCCCCTCGTATAATGAAATTAGCTTAACGTCACACTGGTCCGTGCGCACTATCTGGAACTTTTAAAGACCCCAATTTTTTGCAAAAATATTAACTTTCATCAATAAAAATTAAATTATTCTGACTTGGTTTATCATAAGAAATATTTTCATATACAGTAGAATTATACAGAACCATTCATTTAACAAAAACGTCACTGTCCACGAACTTTTTGGACAACCCTCGTATTTGGCAAATTGCATATTTTTCCCCCATCAAAAGTCATATTTTGAAAATCTTTCAAATCTTTCTTGAAATGCACTCTTGAAATGAATTGTATAAATTGTATGAGAAATCTAAATTAACAAAACGTATAATATTTTTTTAAGTAGGTTATTGACAATTTTTGTTTTCATGACGTCACAAAGTATTCGAATTTTGAATTATTATTCAGAAAGAGGAAAAAATTGCCAAAATTTGCTCAATTTTTTCAATCAAAATTATAGAGCGCAGGTCTGCTTTAGAGCAATATTTAAACATATCATTGATACTATCATTCAACATATTAAATCAAAATATTGAGCTAGAGCAAACCTGCGCCCAGTGACTTAAACTCAAAATATCGACGTAATATACACCTTTTTTTCTGTAGAAATCATAAAAATTGAAATAAACGTCATTTTTCTGATATCAAACATATATGCCGTCGTGATTTATGGAAATATTCAGTGCTTTGAAGTCTGCAGGTTTCCCCCTCTTTTATAGCATAATTATATATTTCTCCATCAAAGTCTTATTTTGTTGGCAAATGTTGGTCATTACTGAATATGGTCCTTTACGTCTTTCCTGCATGTTAATTTAAACATGTTAAAATTTAAATTTTATGTAAACGAGTAACCGAGTAGTCCATTAACTATACACTGAATTTACGACAGATTTTTCCGTTATTTCCCGATCATTACAAGATGCACACGGCGAGTGTGACCGGTCGGCAGGGGATGCTCACTCCTATATGGCACCAGATCTCACCTCTGATGTTTTGTTTGTTATCTACATATGTTTCATGTTTCCTATTAAATTAAGCGTAAACTATGATATAGTATGGTGTTTTACCTTAGATATATAATCTTATAGATGTCGACATATATGTCTCTGTCGCATTGTTCTCTTTCACAATCCTTTTTTACCTCATATTATCCTTGATTATAATTTACCCATATCATTGTTTTTGAACAATAGATTTTAATGTTTTGAATACATGTAACAGAGACAAAACTTATAATAAATTTATAATTAAAAAGACATGCATAAAGTTACATCATCGATGATAATTAACAACACTGTTGTTGATTAAAGATTCTGAGAAAAAGAATTATACGAGGGGCATTTGGAAATTAATGAATATTAGATAATAAAAAATGTTAAACATAGTTTTTAAGGAAAATTCATTGAAGAAAATTAAAATTTAATCAATTTTCTACAAAATGTTTATAAATTGATTTTTTTTAAATAACGCGAACCCGAGATCTTGACATGTGACGTAAACGACGTCTGCGACACTTTAGCACGAAACAATGGCAAGTGAAGTTCCAAAACAATTAGAGCAAAGGGCATACTGTAGAAGCAAGGGCGCTTCTCGGTCATACCCCGCAGAAATTAAAGCTGATTTGAACAAGTTTATGGACCTTCTGTAATTCCTGTATTGAACTGTTCTAGATGGTATGCTCATTTCAAAACAATGGTCAGCAGACGCTTGCACACTCACCCTCGCAGCGGAAGACGGACCTCCCGCCATCACCAAAAATGAAATTGACACTGTGTGAACAGATTATTGAAACTGATGCAAGATACACCGTTAATGGCATTCCATCTTTCACTGGGATCAATTCGAGCAGTATTTGAAATATTAAAACACAGACTAATGTTGAAAAAAGTTTGTGCTCGATGGGTCCCCCATATTCTTATGGATGAGCAGAAGAGGGTACGGGTAGAAATTTGTCGGCAGTTATTAAAAAAATATGAACATTGCGATTTCAGGCGTTTAAACGAAATTGTCACAGGTGACGAAACATGGATTTTCTTTTTCGAACCAGAAATAAAACGAAACATTAAAGTTTGGGTGACTGATGTCAAGGACAGGCCACAAATTGCACGGCGTAGCCGCACAGTGCGGAAAGTTATGTATGCTATTTTCTTTGATTCGAAGGGACCCGTGGTACAAATTCCTGTCCCAGAGTCTACCAGTGTCACTGCTAAATTCTACAAAGAAAAAGTGTTAACATAAGTTGTGTCACATTATAAAGAGACCCGCCCTCGCACTGGAACCCATGGTATACATTTACAACATGATAACGCACCAGCCCACAAAGCCTCGATTGTTACCGAATATTTGACAGAGATGAGCATTAAAACTTTACCGCATCTTCCATACAGCCCTGACCTATCCCCTTGTGACTTTGCAAGTCCACCGATCAAGGATGCCTTAAGAGGACGAAGATTTGAAAGCCGCCAGGCTGTAGGCAGTGCGCTATACCAGTGTCTAAAGGGTATCCCTGAAATCGGCCTATAAATCGGCTTTTCAGAAATGGATTCAAAGACTGAAAAAATGTATAAAAGTGAAAGGAGAGTATTTTGAAGGACTGTGATGAGCTGAATCTGTGATAATTTTGTTGAATAGAATACAACAAATAAATATTCATTATTTTTAAATACCCCTCGTATATACGTTTAGAACTTTTATAAAGTAAAATGTACTGATACAAATCATAGTATTTAAAATACCTATGCATGTAATTCAACAATTAACAGCATATTAATCACTTTGAACACAATTTAAGTTGTAAATAAATAAATGCTGAAAGAAAAACAAACAATCTTATGCTTTAGAACACATCATAAACTCATCAATTGCAAAAAGTGAACACAGTTTGAAAAATCATTTTATATTAGTATATAAAGGGACATATACAAAACAGAACACAGTAAAATTTGCAATATATTGAAAAGAAATGGTATAATATAAATTAAGCAAATACAGCAAAAAAGAAATTCTACGTTAATCATGTTTGTTAAAAATAAATAACCATATACAAATACACTTCATTAATTAAGAATACATGTATCACACAGAATTAAATCAAAACCGTCAAGGAAATAAAAAATTGTACGATATTAAATAAATTGTTGTTATTGATACAAACAAGACAAATCTAAAAATATTGAATAAAACATTCAGTAATAAAAAATAAAAAGTTAAAAAAGTGAAAAACAAGTTTAAAGAGTGTGCTAAAATTTAATAATATAAATTGTATTTCTGATGAGATTTGTTTATTGAGACCTGTGTTTGGGGATACACCAATACGTATACATGTATCTATTCCCGGAGACATATAACTGTGTATAATTCAAGTATATTATTAATTATTTATTTTTCATTTATTGACTAGTTAATTTCGAAGCAACGATCATAATTAAAAATAATTAGATAATAAATCAGAGACAGGGATTAGGCAATATTCAGTTAAACTGTATGCGTATTTTTCATGTTTCAAAAATAAAATAAATTGTAAACTGTTGTAATAATATAGCAGGCTAAATGCATGTTACTTTATTAGAATAATATGTAAGCTGCATTTTTTATGCTGAAATGACTAGACATCTCTCTGTCATACTTAAGTACATGATATCTATTAAAACAATGTACAAATTACTACATGTGTAATTGCTTTTGCAAAACCTTATGAAACAAAACAATTAAAGCGTTAATGGTTAATTTATAATAAGCAAAAGTTTTGTTTTAAATCCAAACAGGATTGAACTAAATGTTGTGCTGATTTAGCAGCAGGTGATACATCGAGAATCGAACTTAAATAGGAATATTCACACTACAGTAAGAATGCTACGAAACAATACAAAAGATCAACATAAAAGATAACAAGATATAGGGTTTAAAAATATCAAACAATAAAAAAACTTTAACTTGTATATTAATTAACTCCACAAGTTACTTAATACCTATTAAAAAAATACTTCTTAACACATAATATCGAAACACGAGATTTTCCCCAGCTAGTTTAAATAAGATATTCTTAACCTAGGTCCATTCTAGGTCTATTTTTCCAACAAATCACTTGTGACATCCAGATCTGATCCTGAATCCGTGTCTTCAGTTGTGGATAGAGGAATGAAGCAATGCTTTGAAGAAATATTTACAGATAAAAAGGCACTTTCGATATCCAAGTCATTTACTGTCTGCTTATGATTGCCTGATGAGATTTGATGAGCAGCCTTGCTGTCTCTCGATTTTTCTGTTTTCTTGATATTGTTTATTATACGGCATGCTGCATTATATCTGAATTGCTTGTTAGAGTACAGGTTGTAGCAGTGTGTTTTGATGCACTGAAATAAACTGAATTTGTGCTTCAGTTGTGAAAGGATCATTTCATCATCTTCCTCAAAACTCACAAGATGACAAGATTTGAGTGAACTTCCGGAATTTGTCAAGCTTCTAATGAATTCATTTCTAATCAAAACTATCGTATATGCGCATGCCCCACCCTCATACTCTGTCGACCAATTACTTGAAATTTCCGTCTTTTCCTTCAGTGGTTCGTTAAATTTTGCTTTGAATATTTCATCCATTTGTTTGTTAACGATAAAGATGTAATGGTTGCTGCTGGACACTGTTTTCTCCAACCAGTCGTGACGGCTCTTCAAATTTTCCAAAGAGGAGGACTCCGCAGTTACGACTTTTATTTTCCGACTTTGCAGTAAGCTTGTCAGCTGGGAAATATCTCTGCTGTATTCGTCAACAGTTATTATCATGGCTGTTGCTTCAGACGATTCTACAATTTAAAAAACAATGAAATAAAATCAATGAAAATAGATCACTAGCC